CCCGCGGGCTCAGGCAATCCACTCACCTCAGTCTCCCAAAGGCGCGGGATTACAGGCTGAGCCACCGAGCCCGGCTTAAATAACTCTTATAGTGGGCATAGACTTGAAAAGCCCTGTGTAAGGCCACCTCATTACAGTGCTATCATAACAGAGGTCTTGTCTTCCTATTTCTGCTTTCTTTCCAAACCAGTGGCTACCACTAAGTGTATGCATCAGCATCCTCCAGAGAGCTGCTGTCAACACCAAGTCAGACCACCACCCTAGGGATTCTGACTCAGCAGAAACGGAGCAGGAACCAGGAACACAGTATATGGTGAGTCTTTATCAGGTGCTTTAACCTGTCTTTATTTAGTCAGTCAGTCTAACATGAACATGAATTTCTACCTCTTAGATTCATAATTTTAAATGAAGTGGGCAGGAATACTAGGCAGCAAGAAAAAGCTCATCTGGCTTGTTGATTTTTGCAAATAACATGTAATAATTCTGATAAAATAACACTTGATTCAACATTTAATCTCAGTAAAAGGAAGAATTACCAAAAAGAATATCACAGATGTTTTTAGATATTGGTACTTTACATACAAGTTCTGAGAGCCCCAACAGAAAAAAAAAAACTGTGAATAGGTAAAATATTATGTAAAACTTGTAGGAATTAGTACATGAAGAAAGACTGAGGAATGTAACTGAAAACTCTCTCAGAAAAATTTTAAAGGGCACATAAAGAAATTAACAAAGAAAGGTAAACAGTTTTAAAATGCTAAATGAACAGAAATCAATAAAGTTCACAGTTCATTCTATTCCCTGTTTAAAAAAACAAAACACCAATGTCAGAATGAATCTAGTGTGCAAGGATACACAGGATCACTAAACAAAATAAAAACAAAGTTCTTAATATTGACTGTATTTGGACCAGACTATTAGGACAAACATTTAACTTCCAGGAAAAAAATATTCCCCTCATATCGGCATACCTGGTCAAACTGAAGATCTTCACCCCTCTGAAGAGATCTGGATAACAGCTTCTCCTACAATTAAAAATATATATATTAGAAATCTCCTACATCAGGGGGACCCAACTCCTGGGCTGTGGACCAGGGCTGCATAGCAGGAGAAGGGCAGTGAGCCGCAGGGCATTTGCCTTTCACAGGTGGGGAACCCTATTGTGAACTGTGCATGCTGAGGACCTAGGTTGCGTGCTGGGCATGATGGTTCATGCCTATAATCCCAGCACTTGGGGAGGCAGAGGTGAGAGGATCTCCTGAGCCCATGAGTTCAAGGCCAGCCTGGGCAACTTGTCGAGACTTCATCTCTACAATAAATCAAAAAATTAGCCAGGTGTGGTGGCACATGCCTGTGGTTCCAGCTACTTGGAAGGTTGAGGTGAAAGGATGGCCTGAATCCAGCAGGTAGAGGCTGTGGTGGCCATGAGTGTGCCACTACACTCCAGCCTGGGTGACAACAGTGGAAAAACTGTCTTCCACAAAACTGGTCCCTGATGCCAAAAAGGTTGGAGACCGTTGTCCTATATGACACACAGCCGTGTGCTGGTTGTCCCATTAATTCTGCTTTTGCTTCCATTTATAATCAGGTGAAGAAAGGCAACCGTAACACACTAGGGCTCAACTCCCTCTGTCTCCAGCTGTGGTTTTTAAGTGACACTCTCCAAGCCAGAGAGAGTGGCTATGTCACATGATCTTCTCCTGTGATAAATTCAGCTCAACGGTTCTTAGACTACAAACTTAAAGTTCATAGGTCCTATTTAGATTCAAGTCCAAAAGCCAACAGCATACGTTCATTCATTCATTCATCCAAGTATTTACTGAAAAGGAGCCTAGTACAGTAACTATGAGCATGTCTCATGGAGCCAGGCAGCCTTGTGTGAGCTGGCTGGCCTACCACCAGGTGAATGACCTTAGGCTGATGACTTCTGATCTCTGTGGTTGTTTCATTTGGAAAAACAGGGTGCTCATCCAATACTGGTATTGGCAATATGCTCATTTTATTTAAGAAAAGAAAAAAAGGAAACTTCACGCTTTTCTCTAAGCAGTCTAATAGCTTGAGGCAGTGTGGAATTATCTGTTCCTAGAAACTACAAAAAGCAAGCCTGGACTGCCTGAAACCACTGCTGGGGAAAGTTGCTTTCTTCCCCCAACATTCCACCTCATTACTACGTTATTTCCATGTGCAACTGCTGCCAAGTCAATCTTCTAGTTTATAGTTTCCTGGAGCTAAATGATGATTGATCGTGCTGACCGGGCAAGGCACCATCTCGGCATTTTATATATAATGATTGACTCCTTGTAATTTGCTGAAGTCTTGAAGTGAACTAACAGCTCGGCATACATATATGAAGTACTTACCCTGTGCCTTACACATGCCTGTTACAGTCTGTTTTGCACTTGCTTTGGAAAGGGGGCTTTTATTTCAACATTAGACAACAGTTTGAGGATGACACGGACTTCATGAAAATACTAGGGTAAATGCAGAAAGCAGCACCCAGCCCGACTGAGCAGCAGAAACACACAGTGCCACACCTCCAGTGCCCACCAGCAGCTTCAGCTCAGGTCATGCGCTGTGGGTTGCACACACCTGCCCCGGCCGCAACCTTTTGCTGGATTTCAGAAAACCCTCTTCCCACCCTTCATGGTAACTTAACAAGCTGAAACCCTCCGGATCCCACTTCACAAACAAACTTTAGGTCTCTTTCAAGGTAAAGTTTCATACTCATCACCATATTTGTGTATTTCTTTAAAATTTCACACATATAGCCGGGCTCGGTGGCTCAGCCTGTAATCCCGCACATTTGGGAGGCTGAGGTGAGTGGATTGCCTGAGCCCGTGGGTTCGAGACCCGCCTGGGCAGCGAGACCTCATCTCTACAATAAATCAAAAAATCAGCCGGGCGTGGTAGCACATGCCTGTAATTCCGGCTACTTGAAAGGCTGAGGAGGAAGGATCGCCGGAGCCCAGCAGGTCGAGGCTGCGGTGGCCGGGAGCGGCCACTGCACTCCAGTCTGGGAGGCAGAGTGAGACTCCAACTCAAAAAAAAAAAAAAAATTTCACACATATAAAACTACGTGATCATTTTTCCTTGGTTCCTATCTCTAAGTGTTGGAATTGGCAAGGAAAGCAACAGTTTTTTCTCTCACTGAGCTCAGAGGGAGACCCACAGATAATTACAAACCAAGGAAAGTATTCAGGAAAAATATTGCTCTGAGGATACAATGTGAAAATTCATCTACTTATGACAGCCGAATTTTAGGGGCCAACTTGATTGGATTAATATTATTTCTGAGTATGTCTGTGAGGGCATTTCCGGAAGAGACTGGCATTTGAATTGGGGAAGTGGGGAAGATCTGCCCTCGCCAAGGTTTCATCCAGTCAGCTGAGGGCCCACTCAGAACAAAAAGGCAGAGGCAAGGCAAGTGATCTCTTCTAGAGCGGAGGCACTATTCTACTGCCCTTGAACATTGGAACTTCAGGCTCTGCAGCCTCTGGACTCCAGGATTTACCCCAGTGACCCACTCCCTGGCCGCTCAGGACTTCTGTCACACTGAGAGTTATACCATCAGCTTCCCTGGTTCTGAGGCTTTTGAAGTTAGTTAAGACAAGTTGCATTACTGACTTTCCTGGTTCTTCAGATGGCCTACCATGGCACTTCTCAGACTCCATAATTGCATGAGCCAACAAATTCCTTGCTATCCATCCACCCACCCATCCATCATCTATCTACCTATCCAAACATTTATCCATCCATCCATCTACCTATCTAACTACTCACCCATCCATCCATTCATCCATCCATTCATCATCTTCTATTGTTTTTTTTTGGAGAACCCTAACTAATATACTGGTCAAAGTGGTTAGGGAGGGATTTAATGCTAGGAAGTAAATCAAAGGTTTCAAGTAGATGAGTAGGAATCATATTTGCATTTGAAACCTAACTTGGCTACAGTAAAGAAACATGGGGCGGAGGATTGGATGTTGACTAATAGGGGCTTGAGAAACACAGAAAAACAGACTAGCCCAGTTATATAGCCTTAGAAATCATCAGTATATAGAAAGTAACAAAACAAAGTCAAGTACCCAGAGAGACATTAGTAAAGTGGGTCTACATTTGAATTTTGAGAAACTCCAACAGTTAAAGGCTATCTACTCAACCATTTAAAAGATATTAATACTCCCTAAATTATGCAAATTTAACAGGACACCCCTCGCCTAAAAATAGAAACATATTTTAATTTAATAAGCTGACTACAATGTTCACATAAAGAAATTAATAAACATGAATAACAAGAAAATCAAGTAATTTGGAACTCACATATAAACAGACAGATGAATAGATCAGTACAGAAAACCCAGAAATAGACACAAAGACACATGGGAAACATATAAGGGTAAAATTTCAAATACTAGGGCAAAGATAGAAAATTTTAAAAATGGTGTTGGGACATTCAAATTGTCTGCAGAAAAAAATTAAGTGGGACCATTACCTCAATGAATTCTAAATGTTTTAAAGATTTAAATATAAAAAATAAAATGATGAAAGTCCTAGAAGAAAAAAGATGGTAATTTTTAAAAACAAGCTCAGATCTTTCTAGGTATAATACAAAATCCAGAATCAAAAACAAAATCCAACCACATATAAATAAAAAGAATAATTATGGTTAAAAAAATGAAGACCAAAGTCAAATGACAAAATAGGAAAAAATATGGCCAATAGATATTATAGGCAAAGGTCTAATTTTCTTAATATACAAAGAGTTCCTAAAGATCATTAGGGGGGAAAAAATCCAACAATAAATAGAAAAAAATGGACAAAGAATCAACAGTTCACAGAAAGGAAATCTGTTCATAACCTTAACCTTACTTATAAGAGAAACAGAAGTTGAAAAGCACAAAAAGTCTAATACTTTGTGTTGATGAGGTTATCTGATAAAGAGGGCCTTCAAATAATGCCAACAGGAAAGTAAGTAGATAACAACCACCTTTGAACATTATTTGGCTATATTTGTCTAAACTTTTTAATGTAAATTACCTCTGACCCAGCAAAAATTCCACTCATAAGTATTCATCTTGCAGACATAGCCACGTAGGTGCAAAATGATGTTCATAAAATAATATCCACTAAGGTTTCACCTGGAGTAGCAAGAGATAGAAGTAACTAGCAGCCTATCTTACGATGTTGTAACATGATGCATCTATACATTGGAATACCATAAAGACTTTAAAAAGCTCTATATGTGCTGACACAGAAATCACTTAGGTATAATATACTATCCACACACTCACACTTGCTGATAATATAAAATGTCTCTTTTACATATATATGAGAACAAACACATTTTTACACACACACACACACACACACACACACACACACACACACACACACACGTCTGTCAGTGGGGAAATTGGATAGTCAGGAAAAGGGATAAAAGAGTTGGGGCTGAGGGTGGAAGGTTGTTACTGTATAAACTTTTGTGTGCCATTTGAACTTGAATGACATTAAAGAAGACAAGAGGAAGGAGTACTTCATGAACAAAGAAAGAGAATGTTGCCAGTCAATGTGACACTTTCATGAGGGAGCCTTTCGGTTTATTTGCTCCCTGTGAATTAAAATGGCCTCAGAGAGGCTTCTGATTCGGTGTAGCATCTTGCTTTAGTACACAGCAGTCTCTTCCATCAAACAGTGCAATCTTCTTAACTTTCCATCTGTTCTGTTAATTTATTTACTGGGCAAATATATACTGACTTCCTACTACTGGCAAGTAATATCCATGAACCAAGAGCTTAGTGGGACTCACTGAGGGAAACTTAGGCCACCTACCCTTCAACCACTGGGTCTGGGGCTATAATGGATACTAAAGCCCCTCTACCTTCTCTCATATGCATATATACTCATTCTTGCCTTTATGAAGTAATGCCCAAGAAAGGATCAGGCCTGATAACTGTGGAAAGTTAGTATAGAAAGAATACCATTGGTACATAAAGGGACTCCCACCCAGTGGAAAACAGGAAAGTAG